CATACACACACAAAAAAAAACCCACATAATAGAAAAACCAATAGCATCTCTACTTCGCATCGAAGCTTAAATCCAATTACATAATTCACCAAAATTGATAAAAACCAATATTTTATTTTTATAGATTAACAACTTTGAACTCCTGTTTTTTTTTATAATATATGATATTTTAATTTGCATGAAACACATACCATTATTATAAATAAACAAATGTACAAAACATAGACGTTTTATAAAATATATATATTAATTTAAGATAATACAACAATTTTAAATTGACGGTTAAAAAGCTGGTAAATTTTTTTTCAGGATTTTTCGTTTTTGAGGATGAAGGTGACTACTTTTGACCTACCAAAGTACTTATCACTTACGATTTCACACTACTCGTGTAAAACGGTCTACAGGAAAAAAAGATTTCGTGACTTCAAACAAAAAAATAAATTCGTTTTTCATGTCTTGAAGATTCTAAACAGGTTCTTTTTGGACTATATGACTATTTTATACATATTCATAACTTTACTTTTTTGGTTTTTACAGCCTCAGCAAAATCAGTAGTGTCCTTTGATGCAAACGGACATTTCACTTCCACGACATATTCTTTACCTACTAAACCGTCTAAAAAGTAGAAATTGTTGAGCCATTAGAGATATAAAGGAAATCCCGTGACATCGGTGTATGATAGGTTATGTTTACTATAGCATGTGTTAATAGGTAGTATTAAAATTTTACACCGACTAAATTAGGACAGTAAATCATTTGAGATATAGCTATTTTTGTAACTTAATTGGAAAACTCTAAATTTTTAATGTGGTACAATTAAAAAAAAAAAATCTATTTCTCATTTTATATGAAGTATGGTTCCCGTAAAAACAGGTTTACCTGGAGAGGCTGCCAAGTACGGTAAGTTTTTGTCGACAACTAGGCCGCATGGGGTTACAACTACGTGCATCTTGTCTTGTAAAAACTGTATGGCTTTGGGTTCCATTGCTTTGCCATGATCGGTCGCTGCCGACTGAAAGGTGCCGTACATAAGATCACAAACTATCGACTTGCAGGACACTGTCGATGTTCTCTTACAAACCCGACCGAAATTAGATGCGGTTAAGCGTTTCCGTCTTTCTGTATGCCACAACTGTGCGTTTGCTTGGTCCCTGGTGTTCTTTTCCAACTTTGTGCGTCTATACTTGTTCAATTTAAGCGAATCCAAGAATTGTTTTGTATTTTTATCAATTTCTTCAACGGAGGAATGGTCGTGTTGCTTTTGCGGATTTGGCACTACATTGTCGGCGCCTCGGCGAGACGCCCTAAGATTTTTCGAAGAGGTACTCAGTGGTCCAGATATTTTGGTCTCCATCAACTCGGTGTCTTCCTTTCCAACTTCTCCTGATCAATAATAATTCATAACGATGATCACAGCACTTTGTATTAGTTGTAAATTATCTAATAATTAATTAACTATCGTAGCCTCTATTGAAAAGCATTTGGATAACCTATTATTTAACGGTATGGATAAACAAGAAACATACAAATATCTTTTGACTTTTCTCGATTGCCGAAAACAAAAATATTGAATCATTTGTTCACCAATAATATTGTTTTTTAAGAGTTAAAGCAACTAAAATATTAAGCAATCAATTGGTAAGTGAATTGAAAAATTTTCTAAGAAAAAGTATTATTTGATATTATCATTATCCGGATTGTAAACAAAAGAATCTTAACGTTGTAATTTTTTATCAAGCGGCAATAATGCGTTTACTAAGTTATTTTTAAGTGTACTAAAAATATTAATTGAAGCTGTTGGCTCTTTACTTACTTGAGGACCGTAGACATGATGAGACTAAAATAAAAAAAATGTAACAACTAATTTATAGACGATTAAATCAAAAATCACATAATATTTTTAACAAAATCAATAGAAAAAGTATATTATGTTTTATTCATAGGTTTTTTTTTTTGTTATACTCAACAGGGAGAAAATTAGTTATCTATTTATTTGTGTATTAAAATACACGTCAAGTACTTGCTCATGATTTTAATTACTTTAATCATTGTGACTATTTAAACATACATTTTTAAAAAACAATTTTCTAAGGTTGGTATAACCATTTTGTAATAAATAATTGATTAAACTGAAAAACACTGATTTTTTTTGTGTAGAACTTGTCGTTAGACATAAAGTTTGCTATTATTATAATCCCGGATAGCAAAAACAAAAACGATTGTATGCATTTAGTAATTTAATTTTAAACATACTTAAATGTTTTTAAAATTAATTTTGTAAAAAATAATTTCTAATACCACTATTGGAGAGCTTACTTGAGTTCGATAGACCACGTTTGACTAAAATTAAAAAATTACGTCATCAATACAAACAAATTTGAGAATTCAATAACCACACATAATATTATTACATTTAACGAACGCCTTAAAAAATTATGAAATTTTTTTGGTCTAGCATTGAAATAGTGTTAATAGTTTTACGCTTGGAAAAAAATTAAGTAGGTATAGGTACGACGTTGTTACTTACTTGTGCTCGGTGTACAATGTGTGGCTAAAATTTTAATGTTAAATATTATATTAAATACCTATATCAATATAATATAACGTTATAGTATTATAATAACATTCCAATCAAATTATTACCAACGATAATAGCGGCAACCAATATAGTGGTATAGTAGACATCATTTATTTTCATCTTGTTGAATGTCTATAATATAATAATATATTCGTATAGATCCAAATAAGTAACACAGGAAAGGTACAAGACAAAAGAAAACCGTACAGTAAAACGAGTACAATGGTACAATACTAACAATGGGACAATATTGTTCTAGTATTAATTTTTGGTACCATATTTATTATGTATTTATTTTGTATTTTGCAGTAATGGTTTTAAACGAAAACAACATCAGCATATACGTCGGGTGAACTAACGTTTTACATTGCAAAATATTAATACCGTTGAGAACCTATGTTATTTACTCAGATGACTTTACAATGGCGTTAAAACATAAAAATCAAATCCTATTGTATGTTACAGTAGGCAATCCACATTCTACTTAATACGCAGAAAAAATAAAAAATAAATTCTGGTTTTTTTGTGGGTCTAAATGTAACCAAAAAGGAACTTTGTAAATCTGCGAAGATTTAAATAAATACATTATATGACTTTGTATACTAGCAAAAACATATCAAAATGTGCCCACTCGTAATAAGATAAAAAATATAATTCTTCTCCATTAAATCCTACATAAAATGCAATAGTAGAAATTAAAAAAAAATAGAAACGATAATCCAAGTATTAAATGGTTATTGACTCTATTATATTTTTTTTTAATACCTAATAATATTAATTAATTTTTTTTAAAATAAACGATTTGTTATAAACCCGCAATCTATAAACATGTTGAACTGGAAACTATGTAGTGTAAATGAAAACCAAAAACAGAACGACACATTTTATAAATAAAGACCACAAAAATTAAAAAACATTGTTTTTAAATAAAATCAAAAATATTACAATATAAAAAAATATTTGAATAAAATCCGAAAATGGCATGTTTTTTATGATCTCATGTACCTATTGAAACAATATAAAGATATATGGCAAATTTATTCATCTTAGAAATTGCTGACAGTCAACATTTAAAAATAAAAAAATCATTTAATAATGAAAACTTCCGGGGCTTAAAAAAAAAAGATCCAGGCTGACTGATGGAGACTTTTAGTAAATTAAAGTACAAATATCAATAAGGATTTTGGAGAAAAAAAATTGTGGTTGGAAAATTTGTCCGCTATTATCCTGTTACAAATAAAAATGATTGGCTATTTTTTTTTTTGTTTATGATTATTATTTATTGACAATAAACACTAGGTCTTCGTTGAGTAGCCTACCAATGTACAAGATACATATACCAATGTATAAGAGAATTTTACAGGACACAATATTGTATTCATTTTTAAAATAAAATACCATTTTTTTACACCATTATTTGTAAACTATATTGGATAAGTTCATTAAAACCTAAATTAATTTTGTTTAATCATTATTATTTAATTATATTCTTTGTATTTATTAAAACTCAAGATACAAGGAAAGACTTATATAGTTATCCTATTTTGATTTATTTTGGAACAACGAATCATTTTCTTTATTCAACCTATATACCCGTAATATATAAATATATTATATATAGTACCCATACAGAGTATAATATATATTCAGAAAATATCTATTTACCAATTACGCATGTACAAAAATGTTACCCACCAAAAAAACGAATAAAGAATAATAAATAATTTGTTATTACAATTTTTATTCCAATAATACCAACATAGGTATATCTACCGTGTCGAGGGGACGTGTCATGCCTTTTTTTCCCTAATCGAGAAATTAGTTTACAAAAAATAATATAGTCGTTGTTTTAATTTTTTTTTTTTTTTGAAGTAAAACCTGTAACTTAAAACGTCCATTGGAAACATTTCGTTTGATATTATCGTTTGATAACATGAGTGTGTAGGTACATATATGTATTATTGACCGTGTATAGGTTACCATGCACGTGTTGTGTTTGATAATCTGCAACGGCAACAGGTCGCTGTCGGTATAATATTTTTGATTTACATTTGCTTTTTAGTAGTAGACGAACCGTCGTGCGGTTTAAATACGATTACACGGCGTTGGTTCGGCCGTATTTTAAAACACCAACAATATTGTTATACACCGCGTTTAGTTTGTTTTTTTTATTTATATTTTATATTATGCACAGCAGTCGGACCGCCGTTTAGGTAGGTAGGTAGGTCGTGTGCCGTTGCAATAATTTACAAACGCTATTGTTCGACAACGCGTTGTGTAATATCATTCGTTATTATTTTTTGGCTTATGTAGATAAAAAAATTAAAAGAAAAAAAAAACTCTAACAGCAGCATAACAAAAAAAATAGACAATGAACCGACGCTTGGCCGCCGCCACGTTCGGCTGAGGTCGGCGGCGACGGCCGAACACTGCCGACGAAACCAGATCGGCCAGTTTCCATCATCAGCCAAAGACGACCGGCTCCGACCGCCGCGTTCCTCTGGTGGTGGTCACGGGCTGCGACACGGGCCTAGGTTATTCCCTGGTGGTCAGGTATTACTGTGGTGCAAGTACAGCGGTAGGATCGGATGCGGTGCCTGGCAAAATAGCCGTCGTCGCCCTTTGCCTGGAAGGAGCCGAACGCCTGGTCGACCGACTGCATCGACTGTCCGACGAAGGGTATAATGTATACTATTACATTATTTATATGATGCAGGCAATAGTGATGAACAAATTGCCGGGAATTTCATTTAAATATTCAAATATTCCCACTATCGGGAATTGATTGAGAATATTACAATTTTTATAAATATTGTTCATATGTTTCGATATTTAATTATACTTATAGTTATAAGTATTATTCGAATACAAACATTATTATAATGATATAGACTATAAAACGATTTGGTAGCTCAAAAAATATACTTGAATGCACTAATAATTACTAACTAACAAAAATATAAATATATGATATGAATATTTGAAATACATTTTACACTATATTTTTATAAAAATATTACCAAAACTAAAAAAAAAAGATACAACTTGTCATAAATCTTTTAAAAATAATAATAAAAATGAATACCTTTATAAGTACCTATAAATAAAATAAACAACAGTGTTATAGTACACTAGGACTTATAAATTAACTTTTTTTTTTTGAAGGAATATTCCGAGAGGTAGGGAAATATTTCTAGTAGCACATCACTAAAAGAGAATTTAAAATTAAAATAATATGTACTAACTTATTTTTTTTTAATGTTCCTATTAAGATACCTTATCTAACCAAAGCATAGGTTTTGCATAAAAATAATTTTGACTCAGATAACAGGTAAATTTTTTAATAACCCTAACATTATCACTATCTGTTACAAAACAGCAGCAGTGGCGGATGTTATGGCACTGGCGATGGAAGTTACAGTAGTAACAGTAAATGTGATCTGTACGCGTGGTCAATGGATTTGCGCGATCCTCAAAGTGTTCGTGAGACTGCAAACCGCATACAGGACCTGGTTGAGACTCAGAACTACAGTGAGTATAAGATATACTTGTAAAAGTCTTACGATAGCAATTACTTACTAAGTATATTTCATATAGAAATGTATTCAAACAATGAGGCCCTAATAATACTCTAACAGCGTATACCCTAGAAATAAGCGAGTAGAAAAGACATTAAGGCGATTATACATAATTAATAAAACATATATTTAGCCATAACATAAATTTGATACAAAAGATGTTTTAAAATAAATAAAAGTATTTCTACATAAAAAAAAAAATGTTAGCTGTGTATTAAAAAAAAAAAAATTACAAAATATTCCAAGTTCTTTCTAACTTCAAAATAAAAGTTAAAAACTTATCGGTTGTAACGACCAATGAAACCTTCAATTATTCCCACACAAGAAGTTATATGTATTTTTTAAAATACTTTAATAACATTTATCAATATTATTAAAATGACCTTGAATCATATTTTAGCAGGAAATTGAATAGGTACTTCAACAACATGAGTACATCAATAACATTTCCAAAGTATTATACATTTGGATTTAATTACAATGACTTATTTAAGACCCTTCAATAAATAAAAAAAAATGATGATATTTTCTACCAAACTTGAAAAAATATTAATGTTTCTTTATGTGCTATGCAAATTTCCTACATTTCTTCCCGATTAAGTTGTACTGTTACATTGGACACATATCTGAGATGAGTTCGTGAGGTTTTTTGAACTAAACTACCTCAACCCAGAGATCGAATTTAACAGTCAACTTTAATTTCACATTTTAAAAACACCAAGGAGATTTTTGTATTTTTATATTTTTCTAAACGTTTAGCTTAATTAATTTACTTAAAGTTATTTCAAAAAAAGTTTATTTTTATTCCAATCGAATTTTGATTCGCAAATATATATATAACCGATTCTTAGCACATTATTATTTCAACGGTACTAATCAATAGTATCAAGGTCTTCGTACGGGTGTGCTATACCACTGTTCAGAGTACTATGACCACGGTTAATGGCTTACACTTTTTATTTTTAGAATTACACGCGGTGGTAAATAATGCGGCTCGCATGCTGATGGCCGAGTACGAGTGGCAAACGACAAGACTTATCACAGAACAGTTTCGTGTAAACGTTCTAGGCCCAATGGAATTAACGTCATCGCTCTTACCTAAAGTGCGTTGTGACCGAGGTGAGTCGTGATTCGTAGACTTCCATAGACGTAGCTTGATGAAGTCGGGGGAGGGGTAGGGGCTATGGAAGTTCATAAAATTCAAAATCATTCAAGCTCCCAGTGAATTTGTTCTTACAAATTTTGTCAGCTTTGAATAGAAAGAGGTACACTCTAAAGAGGTTTTCCCCTCTAATTGTAATACAAGGAAAACGCATACGTTCAGACAGTAGTTTAAGATTAGGATATAAGATTTTGGGACAAAGAAGTGAGTGAATGTGATGATATTTAGAACTGTAGCTTGGGAGACTCACAAGGAATAAGTGTATGTTAGAAAATTTAATTTTTTTTTTTTTGTTCAGGTCGGATTATTAATGTACTGAGTCATTGCGCTTTGGTACCATTGCCGGGCATAGCCGTTTATGGGGCTACAAAAGCAGCAGTGCAAGCGTGGACTTGCGGATCTCGAGCAGAAAACGGTGGCGTCGATTGGATTTCGTTTTACCCAGGTATGGTATTTTATTGGATTACATCGAACCTGGACAGTATATAAATAATAATTCAAATAATTGTTTAAATTATTTTTTTTACGTCTTTTTTTAACAAAGACCCAATTCAAATAAATGTATGTTCAAACAAATTCAAATAACATCTAAAAAGCCAGTAGAGTGGGGTCGGGTCATAGTAGGGATGGAGCATATTGGGGCGGTGAGGTCACAGGTCTACATTGGTTATTACAACTGAAAGTAATAAACACTTTCAAATAAACGCTTCGATGCGAATCTGTGGTTATGTTCAAACCAGTACAGTACAAACCAAGTAAGAAAGTATTAAAGTAAGGTGCAGTTTCCACGGATTAGGATTGAAGGGTTTATTTAAAAGGGATTTTATCCGAGTAAGCCAGTAAAGAGTGGTCTGGGAATAGTAGGGTCAAAGCATAATGAGAACGGAGATGTAGTCTACAGTATCCTACAAGAAATAGGTCAAATTTTTATTTTAAATCACTTTAAGTAAACACATTGAACCAATCTGTAGAGACTGTACCTCATTTTAATGGTTTTTACCGTGCTTGGTTTTGACACTACTGGTTTGACTACAGATTTATTTGATAAAAAAAACTACCACCCCTTCTAGGGGAAAAGTGGCGGCGTCATTTGGGGGGGGCGGGGGCAGGTAGGGGCATTTACCCCACCCTTCATTTTTATGGGCTGGTCAAATTTTCGATACATAAGGACGTAAATTATCTGTTTTTTATGCAACTACCTACATTTACTTACCCTATAATAAATCGCCTGAACTGACTACCAAGTATAATAGGTATGAAGGTTTATAATATTTGTATTATCACTGTTTTGTATCTAAGTGTTTTGGAAAAAATATTTATATTTGTAAATGAACAGTGGGCCGACAAAATGTTGTCCCACCATAAGAAAAACTAAAATGTCGTTCCTGGGGAAAGGTTTTGTGACATATGTTTGATTTGTCAGTATTTATTGGTAGAACTATGTCTAAAAAATATTTCATACAAATTTGGAAGGTATTGACTGTTTTAAAAACGTTTTGGATGTTTTTCTCGATTTTAAAATGGAAAGAGGATGCTTTTTTGAAATTTCCATTTTTATTTCTCGAATTTCAGGATCGTTTTACACGCATTCATCGATTATGGGCGGCGGAGGCAGACGTGACGGTTACTACGATGAAATGTCGGAGGCGTTAACCGACGAACAAAGGGAGCACTACGGTCAGTATATGCGTGCTTACAAGGAGTACTTGGACATGGTGGACGTGGCAGTGCCATCTCAAGACGAACCTGTCCCCAACATTGACTTGTACAGATTTATGGACCATGCGCTGTGGTCGACCCGGCCTAAAGCCGAATACAGGGTGCCGGAACCGTGGCGTTACCGTATATACTCAACATTAGCGCATGTGTGTTCCGCGTTAGGACTTCACGGTTGGAGAGACCAACTGATCAGACGGTTCGTCTGTACGCCTACGTTCAATAGCAACAGGAACAAATCAGCATAGGCTACATTGGTGATGGGAATAATCCGGACTGGCGAGAATTCAAGAATCCAAATTTACCGATTTTGAAAGTATTATTTTATACAAGGGGGTCGCAATAGCCAATAAGTGATCTTAAAATGAAGTAAGCGAATAAGCGAGTTCCAGTGTGACTAGACGACGAAATAACCTTTTTTATTGTACATATTTCTATTTATTTGTTTCATTACAGCAACCAAATGATACAACACATATTGCTTTTCAGATGTAATATTACACACTGTCATATAGTCATATGCAGTTCGAATTTATCCAATGATCTATATAGATGGTAACTATTTTACTGTACAGTTTTTAACAACTTAATAAAAGTATTTATTTTTGTTTAAAGTGGTCACACTGTCGCTCGGCTTCTTGACTACTTCATTTCTGCTGACATTGTATTATGAAATAACAACTTTATACATTTTTACTCTTACTATCATTTTATAAAAAGAAACTATACTTACATTCGTTTATGCATTTCTCGTGATACGAATCACAAACTAATTATAAGTTATAACTGTACATTTATCTAAAAAAAACAAACACAATAAAAGAAAAAATCTAAACCAGGGCCAGCGCAAGACATAGACAACATGGGTATATTGCCTTGGGCGGCATTTTCCAAAGGGAGCAATTAATTTAAACAATTTTTTTTAATAACTAATTATTTCAGATAAAAATTTGAAAATGCAGCAAAATTGAAGTGGCCTAAGTTGAAATACTGTCTATTGCCGACTCTGGTCGAAACCATAAAGATATATTATTTTAATTATGAACTTAATTTATACATAATAATATCAATTATTTGATATGAAATAATTACCAACTATTATAAATATCAAAATGGATTAAGTATGAATTTTTGAAAAATAAAAATATCTTTATAATTTATACTGTACATAATATGTGTATAACATATTGTATAACTAACAGTAAATAGTAATATTCGGATTTTTAAATTCAAAACATAACTTTAGGATTTTTGGATAATCTGGATTTACGTCATATCACTAATAGCTTCCAAAAACGGCATACGAAGTGATCAACATTTTATTTTAAACAGTTTTGTAGATTTTAACTAAGATCAAAATTAGTCTTTAGTTTTTAGATTGACACTTATTGAAATAAAAAAATATTTGTTTTTAAAAATTATAATCAAATAACATTATTCGAACAAAAACTATTTTTATAATTTAAGTATACCTAATGCATTATTTACATTCTAAATTTCTTTTTAAAGTGATTTTGTTACTTAACTTAAAATTGTTATATTTGTTAATTACCAATACAACTAATTATAAATTCGAATAAACTAACAACCTTTTTCGATTGTTATTGGTGGCTTATTCACACAATTGATCATTTTTTTCAATCAAATAATATTTTATTTAAGTAATTTTTCCCTTAAATAAACATCATTAAATTATCATTTGTTTTTAAAACTTACTAGTTACAACTACCCTTTAAAATATTATTGTAAACTTGGACACCAAAATTTAGTAATGTATTAAATTATATACTATGTGTATTTAATTTGACATTAGTTGCAATAATTATTAAAAAATTGCTATAAAGTAAAATTGTAATTTATCTGTTTAGTAAATATTAATGAAATGTACATCAAATTAGAAATAGATTACGTTGGGTTTAGTCAATTTAGGTGTATTAAGATTCAATTACAAGAATTATAAAAATTAAAAACATATATTATTATATAATTTGTAATTTATTGTATTGCCTAAATTACAATTTTAAAATTGTAATTTAGAACAAAACAAAACAAAACAAATTTTGAAATGACTATGGAATAATTATTCATATTGTATTTCAATCCATGAAAGCTTTTATACATTTATATGAAATTTGTTCCATAGAAACAGGTATTTCAGTTCTTCATTGTTCTCAGTGCCTACAGTTTACCTATTACAACTTCTCTCTCTTAGTTTGTTAGCTCATAATTATATTTGATTCTACGTTAGTTGCTTGTAGTTACTTAGTAAACAAAAAAAAAAATTGTATTCCCTTATTTCGTGGAGTCGGTAACAATACTGTTCACAATTGTACTGGCTTGAGAATAACATGTGCCATGTTTTGTAAAAAAACGGGCACTGATATGTTTAGTAACTATAAACTCTATAGGAACACCGGCTTGACCGTAGAATTATTTAACAACGACTTTTAGTTTACAAAAAATTCATATAAATTTAAATTTAATGGAATAATTTAAAGGCAATTTTTACAACAAACTAATAGTTGTTTATTTTTAACAGTCCAATTTAAATTTTGTGGACATATTGAAGTTGATCTTCACCGACCGATAAAAAGTCATCAAGGCCCCTGGAAAAATAGAATTTTAGAAAAAATGATAAACTAACAAAATAGTCCTTCACAATTAAAAAAAAAATATATATTGAATGATTAGAGGTAATTATTGATACCCCAACTATGGGTATCAAAACACAGCTGTTCAAACCAACACAGTCCAAATCAGCACAGTAAGAAAGAGTGAGAGTTTTAAGTATTATATTTTTAATAATTGTTACAAAAACGTTTTAGGGATATTAACTTTTAGTTTAAAAAAAGACTATTAAAATACTGCTACAGAAAAAATAAATTTTAAAATCCAGCTGATTACGCTCAACAGTTATATATTAAATAATATTTTTTGTTTAAAAAAAAGCTTATTTACCAATGTTTATAAGATATTTTATAAATCATGTTTTGGCGAATATTAAATTATTCTAGAAATACAAAAAAAATAAACTTTCAACAGTTATTTCCTAAGTAATTAAACTGTATTATAATGTAAAAGAAATATTTTTAGCTTCGATGCAAAGCGAGAAGGTATTAGTTTTACTCTGATGTGTGTTTTTTTTTATCTGAATACACTGTAACTTTTTTAATACTGGACCAATTCCTTCGAATAGAAACTCTATAAATCGCAAATTTCATCTAGTTGGTACTTTGAGGGAATACAATTTGAAAAAACCATACGAGATTTAAAGTTAGAAATTTTACTGGCTATAATTTCGAGAAAAAGAGTCGGATTGAGTTGAAATTTAAAAGGAATATTTATTTCGTATGCACTAACTCGAAAGAGTCTCAAGTTTAAATTAAACCCATTTGCCACACCCCTAGAGGGGGTTCAAGTTTTTTTAGTTTTTTAGCCGTAATTTTAAGACCATTAAGTTGAAAATTTGTCAGTAGTTAGAACTCGTATGTATTCATATCATATTAAACGGAAAACAAAATCGGCACTACAGGTTTTTTTTAATTGCCGGAAAACTGTGTTTTCGCAGATTGCGTATATTTTAACAAAAAACACTTAAAATCTTAAAATTTTTTTTATCAAATCATTGATACTATTAAGTTTTGTGCTCAAGTAACACTTTTGACAATTTACACAAATTCAATTTTTTTTTTTTTTTAACTAAAAACACGGTGTACCAGATGTGATAAACGAACAAGCGCTAAAAACTCTCAGTTGGTAACGTCTACCCGTGTTAGGTTAGGTTAGGACCCAATGGTCGGTATCATAATATTGTGTTTATTACATGATATCACAGACGACTAAATCGTGTAACTGATAATAGTAGATACACGATTTATTGGGAAAAAAACCGATCCGTGTACTTATTAAGATACTCCATGATTCTGACACGACAAAACCATTGTTGTTATCTCGTTATTTTATCGCCCGCGTTATATTACCTTACCGAAGGTCAACTATGAGTATATAAGGTCCAACTACCTGCAAATTATGAAGAGGACTGTTGTTTTTTGGATTCAGATTATGTGTTGGTTTTTATGCAGTATACCGACCCAAAATGTATTTTATACTACACAATTTTTTTAATGAAACACTTATGTTTTGCATATTGTTAAACTGTTATTCATTTAAAGAGATTCACGCTTGATTGTTTAAATTACCTAATATAAGATAATCTGCTTCGTGCTAATTAAAATTTTTAGTCTATCAACTTGTAGCTCTAATTTTGTATAAAATATTTCATTATTTTATTACTATGTACAAATTAAGTTATATATAATAATAATTAAGTCATAAATGATAATACTTTATTTTATGACTAGATCAAATCTCGTGAACATTTAACATTACGATACTGCTCCTATACTATTATTAAAAAAACACAATTTTTGAAATCTCCATAAAAGGTAATAGTTAAATAACAGGCAACAGTCGACCACTAGTGGCTATAAACGTTAGTAATATTTAACTAATAAGTAATATATGTAGGCAAAATTTATTGTTTTGAATAAGCATCAAAGCGTTTATTTGAAAGTGATTTTATCCGAGAGGACTAGTACAGTAGAGTATAGGCAATTGTTTGTACTCAAAAATACCTTAACGATTAAAAACATAAAAATATATAAGCATTTTTCCACATTTTTTGTTTTACATCTGTAAATACAAGAACATAATAGTAATAATTTTGATAAAATCGACTATAATTGTGTATTTGGATAGGTACTTTGAAAATACAAATGTATACAAACAGATTTAAATAAAAATATGTTTTTAAAGATAAACATTGTAAAAACGTAAATGTAGTTTTAGGTTTTTAATATTCAACGTAGCCACAATTTGTTTTTTATGAATTCCATATCTGTCGAGTGCGCTTTGATTAAGCAATGGCAATCACTGGTATTCTCTTTTTGTATACATTTTACTATAGCGTTTCGTTACTTTGTGCGACCCGTGTGGACACTTTGAATGAGCTTCTTACGTACACCGGTTGGCAAGGAATCCCAGAACCGAGATATAACTATATACGGGTCATAGAACGATGGATGGAAACCGAAGAGATGTTCTACGTGTACGATCTGATTGCAAATAATCGCATGGGACAAATTGTAAGCAATGAAAACGTTGAGTATAAGCTACGACAAGCCAACCAGTTTCTGAATTGTAAGTATGCTTTGGAGCTGAAAAACTCATACATCCTCGTAGCCGAGCTAGGAGCCCAGTGTCAGAGAACCGATTTGAAAAGTTTTAATCCAAAAAAATGTATGGATAATCTGCTGTGGACATTCAAACAGAATGATCACATAGCATTGCGTATGCAAGGCGCCTTGTCGTGTTTTTACCAATTATCCCCAACCACTGTGTTCAACAAAGACGTATTTGACATTTTAGAAGACTTATTGGCTTATTCCGGTATGAAAAATTGCGACAGATATAGTTATAGCACTACGGAGGAAGTGTTCGTTATGGAGTTTCAAGCTATCGATGAAGACATTTCTAAAATTCTACACCGTCTCGAGTTGTTCCACTACAGTTTTTGTGACCCCATTCCTTTGAGAGAGTTAGATTATGGGAGCTCATATCCCAGGAAAGCTCTTAAGAAACAGTTGACCAATTTGAAAAAAATGAAGGATATGAGTCTTACAGTAATGGGAGAGGTGAAAGATAGAAAAACCGAGTTTATAGGATTATTTGACAAAGAATCCGGCTTTTGTTTTGATCCAATATCAAGAACTACTCGTATAATAAAGAACGACTTGGAGACGGTAAGACGCGTAGAACGGATGAAACACCTTTTAGAAAATCCAAGATGGC